AAATGTTCTGAAGCACCAAATTATTCAAAAAAAATTTTTTTTCTATATTTTGTTGTTTCAGTGTGATTTCTCAGAGCTGCTCAGATTAATATTAACCCAAGCTTTCACCCAGAGAGCCCCGCTCTGCTCACTTTGGCCTTGTAGTTATGGAACTGATGCTGACTGAATTTTAAAATATCATTAAGTTGAATTAAAAAAACAAAAAAAAAATTTTTTTGCGTTTTATTTTTTCCTGTGCTCATTTTCACATTTTGACCTTGATAAATCCTGGAACTGCCGTCTTGAAATATGCCTGAGCTTTTACAGAACTAGACCTGATCAAGTTCCCTTCTTGTGGACTTGTTGACACCAAGGCTTCACTTCTTCCGCACTTTTCCTCACAAGCAGGAAGAGTTTCAGTTCTTAGTTATGTTCGTGCTTTTATTTATTTATAATGACCCATGCAAGTAGAAAGCATGAAAGCAAAAATGGTATGGAGAGAGTCAAACTGTTTTAATTATATAAGTATTATAATTTTATTAAAAATCTTCCAAGTCCACGATTAAAGGCAGTTTAACAAAAGGCAACCAGAACCCGTGAGTGAATTTAGGTTTTAGGTAACAGCTGCTGAGAAACACACAGCTGTGAGATACTATCATCAAATATATCTAAATATAAAAAGGCGACATGGCATCATTCTGACTTGAAAAAAAAGCAACAAAAACAACTTTTAACTAGTAAGTGGTAAAGTACTTCACGTTTTAGACAAAAATGTCTCGCTCCAATTAAAAAAAAAACGTTTAAGAATATGTCTTGTATCAGTATGTCCTGCTCAAATTAGGAATTAAAAATACATGTAGTGTGGCAGTTTTAACTTCTGCTCCACCACAGTGCCCCTTTTTTAAGATTTCAAAGTCATGTTGAGGTTTAGTTTTGATGTATTTAAAAAAAAAAAAAGAAGTGATTCTTGGGGTTATAAACATTTTATTGATGTGGGGGAGTGAAATAAATTGATTAAGGATCTCTGTTTCACGTTTCAATTTCTTTCTCTTTATAACCAAATTCTCCAAACATCTCAGTTTTTTTTACGTTACGAGTCATGTTGGTTGTCTTCAGTGACTCTTGCTGCTTGATTTTCAAGATTCGAGTTGTTTTAAAAATGGCAGAATTTTTATAGAAAACGAGTGTTTCTATAAAAATTCTGCCATTTTTAAAACAACTCGAATAACTACAGTGCTGACATTGTGATGACATTATTATTATTATTATTATTATTTTGTGTAGTTTGTTGAAGATTTCTAAGGGAGTGATCAGTATCTGTTTCTATTTTATTACACTGCCTATTTTTAGTTTTATAAGTTAATACTTTCATGTCAAAATAATAAAGTTAAAGGTTTTAGATCACGCTAACGCAGTTAAAACACCATTATTAGTTTGACCACTGGTTTGGTCTTTGGCAACACCTACTGTTTAGGAGGAGGACTGAAAGAAAAGTAATGTTTTTCATTATAAAAGCAGCATTGCCATCTTGACAGTGCAACTTTAATCTTTAAATCCAATCAAAGAGCCCCCAGCAAACCGACAAAGAGCTGTGTTTATTCCTGACCAATGTAGAAGCTCAGGCAGCCGGGGCAGCTCTCTCTGAGTATAAATCCCAGCTGCAGGTGATGGTCTCTTATCAGCAGGATCACATAACAACCATGAGGTCTCTGGTCATATTTCTGCTCTCTGTGGCTGCCTGGGGGTGTGAAGCTTTAATGTAGCTGATTGTGTCTCTGTCTGCAAACAGCCTCTTGGCTTTTGTCCCAGAAATAAACTTGATCCGACTTCAGCATCTCGACGTGATAACATGATTATAGCCACACAATTGAATCATACTTTGGCTATTCTTTACTCTTATGGCATAAAATTAAGAGATAAATCAACTTTAGTCGCTAATTTTAGCTGCTGTTTTTAGTTGCTACTGATGAGAATGTAAAAGGTACGAAAGCCTCTCAGCTTCATCGAGTGTATCTTTTTTATTCCCTGCTTAATGGGACTGGGTTGTGACTGCTGCTCACGTACTCAGGCTGCTGCATTTATGATGTTCTGGGGTGTGCAAATCTGTTCTTGTTAGGATCCATGGTTTTTATAGTTTTGTTTAGAAGCTTTTGCGTTTTATATTAAAGTTTTATTACTTGTGCATCAGTTTTGTGTTTCCTGTGTGCCGTCATTCATTCTTTCTCGTCATTTGCTCCTCTCAGTCAACCTGCCATGCCCACTCTTACCTTTTCCCAGTCTGTATTCAGCCCAGGTGTCTCCAGTTCCTCATCAACCCAGTTCTATACACCAGTCAGTTGGTTTTCACTCACCAGCAGAACATTTATGATTCTTAAGCCACAGTCTGGTCTCCCTTCTTGTGATTATTCTTGTGCCTCCTCATGCCTCCTCAAGCCGTTTGCTGTCATGACACCATTTTTGTTTTGTTTTATAATAAAAAGGTTTTTTTTTAGCTCCTACATTCCTGCATTATGAAGCCATGGCAGTTTTATGTATTTTGTTTTTTTGTAATATCAGGGAGAGCACAACTTCCATATCAGTAAGACAACCAAGCAGTTCATCATCCCATATCTTGTCAAAGGTTGTGGATATGCTTCCCTTCAGAGAAAGTTAGGCCTTTTTTTTTATATTTAAAGTATTTATTATTATCCTCTAAACATATACATTCTTTTTTTTAATGCTTTTTTCTTTTGTTCCATATCAGTTTTTGTTCTCCAGTTGACAGTAAGAACAAGTATCAGAGTCTGGACATCCCCATTTTGTCCATCAGGGACTGTAAAAACTGGACTCCATGTTCTAAACTGGATATCACGAGAAACACAAGGATGTACAAAAATATCTATAAATTTAAAGAAAATTCTGAGTCCAGAGGAGTTTGACTTTGACTAACAAATTTCAGCAGCCCACAGATTTTCTCTTGTAAAACCAGTCTTGTTCATTTTCAGGTCTGCATCTTTATTCAATGTCTTGAGAGCACAATTGCCAGCAACTAATTCATCCAGTTAAAGATCTTTAATGAAGCAGTTTAATATGACAGCATGTCGTTTTTGGTCAATCTTATGCTCTGAGTAGTAGAAGAACCATTTTAAAGTGATATTGTTATTGAGTTAAAAAATAATTCTTCTGTAAATGTGTCTGAATGTTTGTACTATCAGGCAGAAGTTTTCACAAGGGGTGAGTCAGAGTGGACTTGCTCTCATGTACCAGTAGATTTCTGCCCTTTTCAAACTACTCCAATCTCAAGAATTTCCCAGCACTTCATGCAAACATTGGATATGTAAACTACACTACCGTCACTTTTGCACTAGACATTTATTTTTATAGGAATTCAGGATTATTGACACTGAATACTGAGTCGATGGGTCCGTCAACAGGTAAGGGCCACTTTAAATTTCTGCTGCAGAATGAAAGTGTTAAAACCAGTGCTTAATTTAAGCCGGATCCTGTCCGAACTGGATCTGGGAACTCTCTGTGTTCCGGTAACTGTTTGCTTGGATCCTGTAACTCTCAGGCTAACTTATAATAAAGTTATGAACAAATATAACTGCCTTGAATGAATAAAACTTATATTTTTCATTCATTCATTCAACCTTTATTTATACAGGTTAGTCTCATTGAGCCTCGAGGACTCATTTACAAGAGAGATCTGATTTAAACAAAGAACACAGATGAGGTCCAGACAACAACAGACAATCAATATTGGAAATATAAACTAAAAATAATTACATAAACACTAATTTTAAACACAACAGCCACTTACAAGCTGAAGCTTCTTAATATCACATACAAGCTGCCTCTTAAAGTAAGCATTTCCACTTCTACCCTTAAAAATATCTCTGCCCTTAAAGAGTGGTGGGGGTGAGTGCTGAGCTAACCAGGCTGTCATTCATGGGCAGGAGCCCACAGGCAGCCGCCATGAACAGACGGAGGAGGCGCCTGGAGGTTTCACAGGTGGAGTTGGACAACAACAAGGATAGTGAATTCAGCAGAGAGGAGTCAGGCTCTGAACCATCAAGTAAGGGGTAGGGAGGGGGTAGGATGCTTGACAGAAATGAAGTGTTTACAGATGTAGGTTGCCTTGAACCACTTTGGCTGTGGCTGGCTACCTGGGAGAAGTCGACGAGGGACAGGACGGCCCCCAGAAACCATCTTAGCTCCAGCAAACTGGTTGGTCTACTTAAGGAGTTTACTGCTTAGTGGGGAACAGTTTACTGGAACTCTTCTGACTGATGAAGCCCTTTGGATAGAGGGCGAAACATCTCTATAAAAAAGAAACTGCCCAGATGACCCGACTGAGATTTATTGGATTTGATACCTGGATGATTGAGCATGAACTTTGTTAAACGTAGATGTTTAACAACCCATTAAAATGCTGAAATCACATCTCATTTATTAAAAATTTTCTGGGGGAAGACCCCCAGACTCCCTGCCTGGCCAGCCCACCCACTATTTGCGTTCCATCATCGATCAGTTTACAAATTAAGCCCTGGTTAAAACCATTCACCATGAAAGTAATGCAGTATAGAAAAAACAAATGTTATAATGGTTCAAACAAACCCTTTAATAATTGTTTTGTACATCACCATTTTATTTCCATCAAATGGACACTCATATGGTAATTGTTCCTTTATAATATTGTGAAATGATGAGAACAGAAGCACAGAAATACGGTCTGCCTACAGTTTCATGTCTACAATAAAACTCACTGAGCTATTTCAATAGTGAGTCAGAAAGAATTGCATGATTTTCCCAGATCAGTACCATCGTTAGCAAACACACTGATGCAAGACAAAATTAAAGATTTTATTGATGAAATATGACATCTTTTTCTTCTTCTCCCCCACCGTTTCTCCTCGTGATTTTCCTTTGCCGCTGCCCTGCTCATTTTGTTTGTGAAATTACCCACAACCACCTGCTGTCCCTGTCTCCTCCAGTGTTGTTTCTCTCCTCTCTCATGTAGTTCTGTGGTGGCAGATCAACACCTAGCTGTATGTGGAAAGGATCTCGTTGATCCAGGGCATCAGAGAACAGACTTTGGTGTAAACACCAGGGTAGTCAGGCAGAGCACAGCCTTGACCCCAAGAGACGATTCCCTGCAGCTCGCCATTACACACCAGAGGACCGCCAGAGTCACCCTGAGCAGGACAAAAAGAAAAGAAAGAAAGAGAAAAGTGCTTATTTATGCAAACTTGTCATTCCGATTAAATTTTATTATTTAGAATTGTCATAGGCAATTTGTTTTGTTTTGTGCTAATTGTCCAAAGTATACCTGGCAAGCGTCCTTGCCCCCCTCCAGGTATCCAGCACACACCATGCGCTCAGTGATCTTCCCAGGGTAGGAGGTTTCACAGTCCTTGTTGGATAAGATGGGGACCTCCACACACTGAAGGTAAAATGGGTTGAACACTAGATAAAAGCAAGAAACGAAAAACTGAGGTTGAGTAATGGAATAATTATTTTTATCTCAAGTGAATATCTCGGAGTATCTCATTGGACCCCATCACTGACACATCTGAACAGCAACCGTAATTGTTTTCTTCTTGTAAAACAATGTTGGGGATCTGTAAAGAGGTTCACATAAAGTTTTAAATGTCAAGAACAGGACATGCAATTGTGCAGATTCTGTGATATAATTGGATTTAAAGCAACAAAATGTCAAAAACAAATGTTCTTCTAAAAAAAGGAAAAGATAATGTGAGCTCTAACAGATCTTGTGAGGTCTTTATTTACATCCTCGGCTTTAGCCTTTGGAGTCGAGCCATTTCAAGATGTTTGTCACAACTAATTGACCTTATAAAAGAAAAAGAAGCCCATCAAACACTTAGATGTTGAGCTAAAAATTGGTGTTGTAGTAGCTAAAAGTCATTGCCAGCACACACTCCATGCACTAAATTAATTGAGACAAATCTTGAAATATTGTGTGCAGTTGTACATAAAATGATATTCAAGATTTGACCAATGAGGCTAAAACTTCTTTAGTTTTCAAGATCCTTCTTGAAACTTTTGTCATAAAAGACTTCAGGTGGTATGTACATCTTCAACAATTACTACCACAATTCCTGAAAAATAAAAGGCTATAAAATCCAAGACAGTTTCTTCAAAAACAATACCCCATCAAATGCAACTTTTTACATTATACTTTATAGTATTACATGTAGTAACTAAACCCATAACATTTAAAATGTTATGCAAATGTTGCTTATTATTATTTTGCTGCATGAACCAGATGTTAAGCCCTCTACATTACTGGAAGACCAAGATTGCTCATCGTTTTTCATGGTGTCACTTTAAATAATCTTACTCCCTCTACACCTTGCTGTGACCAGTAACAAGTTTCATCATCATCATCACATAAGAGCTTGTTTAATGTATTTCACTGCCAAGTTTAGAGATGCCTCACCCTCATCTGAGTAGATATTCCCCCATCCTGATACCATGCACATGTCCCCAGGTGAGGGACAAGCTTTGGGTAGAAGGACAGGCTTGACATACTCGTTCACAGTGACTGGGTGTGCCAGCTTCATCAGCATGATGTCATAGTCCAGGGTTCTGTAATCATAGCTCTCATGCCAGTAGATGGCATCCACTGACATGTACTGCTCAGTGCCTTCATGCTCCCAGATGTGGTAGTCTCCCAAGATGGCAATCTGTGAAAAGGGGCTGAAAAAAATGCAAATTATACACATTTGTATTACTCCTAACCACATTGTTTTTAAAGTGTGATTGCACCGAAGGATTTGGTACAAACTTTTGCCAGCAATGAGCAGCAGAGATGATCCACTGGTCATTAATGAGGGAGCCGCCACAGAAGTGGTAGCCGATGTTAAGGGACACCTGCCAGGGCTGAGAGTGAGCCTCACACTGGTATCCTCCAACAATCTTGTCATCCAAAGGGGCTGCAGCTGTTGCATCAAAGGAAATGAATTTCCCTTTTTTTATTCTTATATTCACACTTTTTTATATTTAAAACATGCAAATAGTTGTTACCTGCAGCTCCCAGGAGCATGGAAAGCATCAGGGCAATCATGATTAGGCTGACTCAGTCCTGCCCACAGTCAGACTGGATGCAGATGACCTGTTTCTGAATTTATACTTCTACTTCTCTGTGATATCCCATGCACCCCTCCTCCTCAACACCTTTCACTCGTACATCCACCCTCTTTCAAATGTCTGTCCTCTCCTCCCACTCTAATCCCTGTCTTGGCCATGAATATGCAACTTTGTGGTCTTTTCAGCAAACAGCACAGTAAATGACCAGTTATTTTGTTTCACAATGTACTATATGCATGTAAAATAAACAGCATGTGTCTTCAGAAACTACAGATGGCTTCTTTCTCACCGAGCTATCCAACAGAAAATGTATTTAGCATCTTTTTCTGAATTTCTTCACCCCGCCCAAAAAAATCATATTCAAACATATTTGGACTGTCGATACTGTAACCGTTATGCTTTAACTTGAACATTTTTAAAGGTTGGATCGCTGTTTTCAGTGTTTTATGTTGTAGATTTCCAAGAATGAGTGAGCGAGAGAATCACAAACAGTGTTCAATCAATGTGTCAAGACTTTGAGAAGGGCACCAGATGATATCCACCCCCCCCCCCCCCCCCCAACAAAAAGGCTTGCTGTTACAGGGCCAAGGTGTACAAATAAAAAAATTGGAGCGTGATAAAAGCGCAGAAAAACAAGAACTCAGTGTGAAAACGCAGATGGGGTCAATAAAAAGAGAGGAGGTGAGGAAAAAGGCTGAGCACAGCAGGCTGATCGGGTATAAATACGGGCGAGTCCAAGTGTCGTCTGGTCACCTACCATCATGAGGCTATTCTGTCTTCTACTGGCTGTCGGAGCTGCTGGTAAAGAAACAGGAGGACGCCACTAATGCACTCACTCTGTTAATACACACACAAGAGCATTTAATATGAAATGATGTTGCTGCAGACTGGATTTCAAAATTCTCTGTTTCTTTCATGAACAGTGGCAGTTCCTCAGAATGATGGCAGGATCATTGGCGGGCAGGAGTGTGAGCCTAACTCTCGTCCCTACATGGCCTCTCTCAACTATGGCTACCACTTCTGTGGAGGAGTGCTCATCAACAAGCAGTGGGTGCTCTCTGTGGCCCACTGTTGGTACAAGTAAGTTTGTAAGAACAAATTCAACTGGAACATGTCTGAAGAAATGTCCAAAATTCCAGTACATCAACTTTCTTGGCGGCACGGTGGATCATTTGGTAGAGCTGCTGCATCTCAGCGAGAAGGTTGCCAGATCAAATAGTGGCCAGGTAACAACATAAAAGGGTAAATTGTGTCATCTGGACCAGTTTCTTTAAATGAGAAACGTTTTGTCTTCCACTCGGAAGACTTCGTCAGTCTACAGACTGCCAACCAGATCTGTCCTATAGGTAGCCTTCACTGCTGTGTTTCAAGCCGACCTCCTGTTGGAATCTCAGCAGCAGACTTTTAACACATGCAAACACAGCCCATCCATCATTTCTCACTTAAAGAAACTGGTCCAGATGACATGATTTAACAGTTTTTATTGTTATCTAACTGGATGATTGAGCTTACAAACCTTTTTTCCTGGCCAGGTAACTTTCTGGGTGGAGTTTGCATGTTCTCTCTGTGCCGGTTTCCTCCCACAGACCAAAAAAATATGCATGTTAGCATGTTAGGCTAATTGGTAACTCTAAATTGTCAGTTCAATTCAGTTTATTCTATAGCGCCAAGTCACAACAGACGTTATCTCAGGACACTATACAAAAACATTCACATACATTAAAAGTCAATTAGTGACGTTATTTATCTAAAGAAGATAGGTTTGAATATGTTAAGATATAATAAGATTAAGATATATAAGATTGTCCCTAGCTGTGAGTGAGAGAGTGAATGGTTGTTTGTCTCATTTGTCTCTTATGTGTCCCTGTGATGGACTTACAAGCTGTCCAGGGTGTCCCCCGCCTCTCGCATGGTGATTGCTGGATATGGGTACCAGTGACCCCCGCGACTCCAAAAGGAAGAAGCGGGTAAAAAGATAATGGATGGATGGATCAGATTTCTTCTATAAAGCCAAACAGTGAATTAGGACATACTTAGGCTGACAACATGTCCATGTCATGATATATAAACTAAAAGTATAAAGAGAACAAAAATCAAAAGAAATGTCAATGCTATCGTCAATGGGTCCCCATGGTAACTATTCATTCAACCTTTATTTAGACAGGTAAATCCTATTGAGCCTCGAGGACTCATTTACAAGAGAGGCCTGATACTGAACCTGAACTAACCATACACTTGTATGTATACAGACAATTGTATTTTATCCCCCAGATTTTGTCTTTGTTGTAAAATGTTCTTCTATCACAAGCCATTGCAGACTATTACTGATCAAGTTGTGCATTTAATATATGTTTTTGTTTTTTAATCTACTGCACAAGAAGATGCAGATCCAAAGTCATGACAGAAATGGAAGACAAACAGCAAAATAGTAACGGATGGATGAATTAATAAGCTTTCTATTCCCAAGAGAAATCAATAACAGTGCATTACAGATCATGACATCCTAATAATTGCTATAATTGTTATTGATTGGTTAACTAAAACGCTAAACTTTCAAGAATGAACATATAATTTGTAACGTTTTTCAGCTTCCATTTATGTTTCACCCCTTTTCCTCAGTCCCTATGCCATGCAGGTCATCCTGGGAGAGCACGATGTGCGCGTGTTTGAGGGAAGAGAGCAGCTCATGAAAACTGACACCATCATCTGGCACCCCAGGTAGAGAAAAGAAACAATCCTTCTTTCCTGTGTCCTCATTTGCACAATTTAAAGAACAAATTCTCTGCTTTTTAAGGCTTTTCCTCTTTCTGTCAGTGAGCGTTTTGTGCATGCAGGAGCTGTGCAATCTTACAAAGCTTAAAATCCACACAAAGGAAGTTAATATCCCTCAGAGAAGACACAGTTCCTGAACTGCTTAGGAAAGCTTTTATGCATTTCTTCACACTTAATGCCCATCTAGTGGCTGGTAAAGCATGGCTAAAACACAAAACGAGCAAATACCTTGCTGCACAGAACATTTTAGACTAATTCGTCCTCAAATCAGAGCAGGGAAGTGGGTTTAAAGAGACATGAGCTGTCATACTCTGCTCTGTTTGAAACAGAGCATGAAAAGAACAATATCTCTTAAAATATTTAGTTATTTAGAGGAAAACATTTCACCATAGTCTCATAAACACTGCAAAAGAAAATACAGTAGTCCCTCGCTCTTTCGTGGTTCGTTTATCGCGGGCTCACTCGGTTTTTCAAAATAAGATTGGACATGACACACAATTGGCTGATTGATAGATGAGCCGCACGATAAGCATGGGATTTTTATTTAAAATAAATTATTTTAAATTATTCAGCACCTCCTGCAGCTTTGTGCAGCCCTTACTGATGCAGGATAAACTTCCGGCTGCAGCGCAGAGCGGAGAAGTGGGTGTGGCCAAGAGCGCTTGCAGGTTGTAAAGAGCAGAGGAGGCAGGGAGCATGACATGCTGTGCTCTTTTAGAGCATTTAGATTTTAGAAACATTGTTTAGTGTGGGAAGGGTTTAAATAGCCTTTATATATTATACATACATA